GCGACAGTTATTTTTAGCTGATTCCAATAAGATTTAAAAGACTCACATGGCTGAAAATAAAAGTCCTTATTCTTGTGTAATGATTTGTGAATTAACTCTCTAGCCATATAAACAGATATTTCTGAATATTTGTATAATAATACTTCCGTTTTTAAACAGGAATTTGTGACTACCTTAAATATTCTTCAAGTGGATACATCTGCTGAATCTTTGCATATGGTACCTCTATATTCTATTTCCTAGATGTTAAGCAATTAAACTCATTAATGTATTATGTATCATGATTAGTAACAAACAAAAGACAGACCTACTTTTTGAGAGATTTCCAGGTAGGACTCCCAACCATTAGCAATGTTTTTGTCTTGCCTTTATGACTATGAAGAGAAAAACCAAACCAAGCATAGTCATGTTCCCCCATTACAATCCACTCTGCTTCTTCCACAAATAGAATGCCTGGAAAAAACATTGCTCAAAGTGGGCACGAAACATATGGATGCAACATAAGTAACAATCTGAAACCTCCACGATGGTGGACACCCCATAGGCTTTACCCCTACAAGAAACCTTGAACTCAGAGAATATGAAGGCTGCCAATAATGACCTCTCCATGCTAGTTGCTGGTCCGCCATCTTCTCAATGGCTTCAATACTTTCTGAGTCGCTGGCATGGAACAAAAATACAGAGTTCTTCTTCACTTCCAACTTTTGCATACTTTTTACCGAAATATGCAAGGAGCATATACAGATATGCACCATCATACCCTAAGCATATCAGACAAATATATAACCTTTTCTGGATCTTCCATGATTTGAGGAAAATGCAGCCACAAATCCTCTCTGCTTCCCTCCACCTGGTGCATAAGGAGAACCAATTACAAGGTCATCCTTCTTGTCTTTATTCACATCAGCAGCCAGAAGTGTCCATCCCAAATTGCAATAGGTTTCCTGCAGGGGTAAAATATTATAGTTAGTGTATATCTTACAGATCACTCGAATGCATGTGTAAAGGGCAATGCTATTTATAAGAAGCAATGGGGTTGATTTATTAAAGGGGTAGAGCATGTACACTTTGCAAAGTGAATTTTTAACTTAGCTTAGTGAATGTGGTGAAAATGTACTTTGGAAATAATAAGTATCACGTGCAAGGATAATTTAAAAAAAACATAATTTTGCTTGTACATAATTGGATGATGGAAGTCAGCAGAGCTTCAACTCATTCACTAAGCTAATGAAAAAATCCCAGGCAAGTTAAATTAATTTTTTCCTTTTAGAGAAGGGCTTTTCTCCTTTCATAAATCAACCAAAATATATTTGTTATTCATGTTTTGAATGTATCCAGTGCACTCACCCTGCATTTTATTGTGACATTTGGTTGAGAAGAAAGGCCTTCACTTCCGGTTCCAAAATATATATATACAGAACCCTAGAAATCAAGTACAATTAAAGAAATGTTATTTAGCTCCATATAAGCAAAGCAGTTGCTCTAAATGTTATGTGAAATATCTTGTTTCCTTTCCCTGTGCTACATCTTCAAATTAGTCAGTAAAATATTTTTTTTTTTTTAAGTGACAGTTATTTTCTCCTGAAAATGAGTCAAAGTAGAGATACTTATCCTTATGTTGAAGCTTTGTGAACTGAGCCTATTTTTTAACACCACAAATAATCTTTGTTACTGCATTAGAACACTTGATTCTAAGCATTATATGTAATGACCTATTTATACAGGGACAGCCATATTTTATCTTTACATATGTAGTCAGATGTATGCTTTAATAATTCTTAATAAAAGTGTAACTATTAATAAATATACTTAAAGCTCAGGAATTAAATCTTAAAAATGCATTAAATTGTGCCACTCCAAGCTCACTCCTCTGATGGACTACAATCTTAAATGGTATGTATTAATTTGTATTGAGACTGTAGTCCATCAGAGAAGCACAGTTGGAGCAGTGGCTGCTTTACAACAGACACAGGGACCAGGGGGAACAAAAGTAGCCACCCTCCAGAAGGAAGGACAGTGTCATCACCAATTCAGAGAGGATTTGAGGATCTACAGCTGAGTGATACACAAATAAGTTCCATTTGTGTTAATAGTTAAGATGCTTCAATGTATTTTTAAGATTTAACTACTGAATTTAGTGTCACTTTAAATCTATTGGTTTTACACTTTAGTTGCCTGAGTCTACATGTTTTTGAAGTAACTAGTATCAGATGAACACATGAAGTGGGCAATATTTCTGTGCCATGTAACCCTTCTTTACACAATTTAAATCTTTATTGTCCTCCTATCATATTGTATATAATCTTACCTAATTACTGGTGTCATTTAGTCAGGAGTGATGTAGACCAAGCTACTGTATCTTACTGTATATGTAAGCTGGGCTCCTCCAACTGATGGAGCTCCCACGACTAGATCTGGCTGACCATCCACATTGAAGTCCAGCACTGCCACTGAAGAGCCAAACCGACCGGAGGGCTTGAAAACAAAGTAAGCAAGATGTTGTTAAATTACAACTCCACATCATGTGAGCTTTAAGTGATAAAATGTGCTAATATGCACTGTCCCCAATGTCATTCAATAATGTCATACTAAAGCCTTAGCAGCCAATAGAGCCAAAAGTAGTCCTTGAGCTCCTGTAAAGTGACGGTGCATAGGCAGAGGCTCTGATATCACTATTGTGTTGAATGAAGGAGGGAGCATTTTCTCAGTACTTCCTCCCCAAGTGAGTACTGTGTTTAGAGTAGTCGGGAGGCAGCAGTGACTGATTTTTGTAAAGTTGGCCACACCGACCTATTCCCCCATGTGCACTAAACAGCGTGGATGGAGGAATCACCTCTGCCAGCTATTGTATTCTGACAGTTGCCACCCACAGCTTTCACTTAACATGAAAAATATATGTGATGCTAGTACAGTGTAGTATTTTGTGTACCTATACACCATTATGAATTCAGCAGGTGTGCCTGTATTCATTTACCTTTATATATTTAAAAAAAAAAACAATCACCTCCGAACCTTTCAACAAGACATCAGCATCCTTGTTTAGATCCATGTCCACAGAAGGTAGTCCTGATTCGTTACCATAAAGTATGTAGACACAACCGACTTGAATATGGCCCTGACTGCTGCAACCTGGGGCTCCTATAACCAGGTCATCCCAGCCATCTTGATTGAGATCTGCTGTGGTAAGTGTCCTGTACAACAGAAAACACTATCATATTCAACTCTGTACTGGACAATTTATTTCTACCTCAAGCAAATGAATCATTTCATTGGATTTCCTACCTAGGATGTACACTGCACAGAGAATGCACCATCAAGTGTACATTAACAGTGAAAAATTGCTAGAAGCGTAAGGGAAACTTTTTTTGGCAAAAAAGATTTTGTATGTCTCTTTTGCTTAAAAAACGTTAACTCCCTTTAGCGTCCCTTTACATTAGTATACTGATAAAATAAAACTCTTACCATCCAAGCCTGGAGTATGGTGAGCTTACATAATAGGTGGCTGATGAAGTAGAAATATGTTTAGAATTTAGGGAATTAAATATTCGGACTGAAGTCACCGTTCGAGTGGCATTACTTATCAGCTCCATAGACCTCTGTAACAAGGTAAGAGGCATTATTCATTTGCATTGTATTACAGCAGTATTTCTCAACCATTTTAACCATGGCACCCTTTAAAAGTATGCCAATCTTGAGGCACCCCAAATGTTAAAAACATAAATGCAAATATGTATAAAATCGATGTGTGGCCCATGGATAGTGCAGAACTACTATATACATATGGTTAAGTTGGATTTTACACTTAATAGAAAGAAACAAATTGCTCGTGAGACCTCCATTTACTAACATAGACCTGTCATTCACTTAGAAGTGACACTTTTCTCTAAAGCAGTACAAATAATCAAAATCACAATTGAGTTAGAAGGTAGAAATGGAAATGGCACTTTTACCTCTGCCCACTGACTCATGTGAAAGTAGACTCCAAACTCTGTAGTGACAATATCTGCTCCAGATGATATCATAACTGATGAATTATAGTCTTTGTAGTACTTAGTCTTTTGCAATAGCGTTTTTCTTGAGCTGCAAGATAGTAGTAATCATATAATAAATAAAATGACCCTTCTACTGGAAGTACTCTCAAAGGGCTATCATTCAGAACACTGCAGTGCTGGACACCACCCCTTCTACAACCTAACCTCCTAATTTGCATTTTAAATTGAAACTAGAATAGCTTGTGGTCAGTTCTATTTTTTCTAAGTTAAAAATGTAATGAATGACAAATAATTCCCAGAGCACAATGGGTTAGCTAAAGACAGCGAACAAGTAGTTCCATTTGGGATATATATCGTTTTAGTTCTGACAATAAAAAATACAGAAAAACAATATACAAAGCCAAAAACAATTCCGACAATTTACAATCTGGCTCACAGTGGTTAACCTTTGAGTCCATGTTGCTATTGTAAAATGAACATCACTGAAAAATTAGCAGCTTAATGTGCATTGTGTAGGAGGTGTTCTTGAGCTCCTTATGCCTTTGGCTGTGCTTACATATGCACAACCAGTTATCACTAGTGGTGGACCAATTCTTCATACAAAAAACATCTTCCTAACGAGAGGCCGCTGATTACATCTGACAGGGGAGTCTTCCACCACATGGAAAACTAACACAAAGAACTGTGCCTTCTCCTCGTAAAGTACTGTTAATTTATTAAATAATAAAAAAAATTTAAAATACTTACAATAGTAATTTGTCATAAGCGCAACAAACTCTGAAGAAGGGGGTACGCCCCAGAAACACATCAGTTGATCTTGGCATTGGTAGCCGGCTGGCCTGGTCCACCATGTTACCATGACTATAACATGGTGTTTGGATGTGGAAGATCATATATATATCTATAGATATATAGATATATATGTATATATCTATATATCTATAGATATATATATACAAACCACTATTGTGAGTATTTTTAAACATTTTGTATTATTTAATAAATGAAACACAGTTCACCAGGAGAAGGCGCCGTTCTTTGCGTTTGTTTCTCTGGCTGTGCTTATTGCGACCTTCCCATCTGCACTCTTTAGGGTTTATTGAACCCCACAATAAAGGCTTCCAAAGACTAAAACAGTACGTAGCTGTTTTGCTGTGCACAGAAGGAGGCATCAGCATAGGAGCAATGTAGGCAGTGATGGTTTATACAGAATTAGGTCTTACATATAAGAAAAATTGAGAGTTATTAGTGACTTTACTCACACTTTGTGGTCTCTTTTCTCAATGTTGCACTGTATAAAGATAGGATTTTCAGGCAAGTAGCATTCACTAAGCAAAATGAAAAACAAACTGAATGAGTCCATCCACCACTAATGCAGTCACTGCATTTTTTATGTGCAAATTGTATGAGCCCTAACAATCAAATTTATAATAACTACTAACAAAGATGCATCTTATTTGTGTATCACTCGGCTGTATATCCTCAAATCATCTCTGACTTCACGCTGACACTGTCAGGGTGGAGGGTGGCCAGAGAAATTGCATGTCTTCATGTGAGTGTGGTTAACACACACAAAAATGTTCAAAAAAAGCGTACAAACGTGCAAAGACGATGACGCCTGGGTGTGAACGGGGCCTGAAGCAGCGTGGATGGACAAATCCCCCGAAACCCAAATCTTTCCAATGGAACACAGACAACAACAAAAAATTGTTGTTTACTCAAACTAAAAACCCAGATCTCAACCTAGGTTGTTATTTTACTACAATTTGCCAATATACTGTTGCTCCTTTGTTCTCCAACCACTATATAGAGATGACTGGGTCACACTGAATCTACTGGAGCATCTTTAACATAAGAACTGCCTCGTATATAAATGAAGATATATCATAATTATTAGTCATAAATGTCCACAAGTAATTAATCATTTTAAGTGGTGTGAGCAGTTCCAGACTGAGATCAACCTGGCCAAACAAAAACGCCTGTAATTAAGAAGCTATTACTCTTTGTAAATGATGATAACTAGGTTACTGCATGAATAAAAGTGAAACATTGTTTGGTTAACATGAGTTTTTACTACTATCCAGGATTTAGTAAGACTGCTCCTCACATAGAGGTCTATTCTAACAAAAATGAATGTCCTTTGTATATTTTCTTTTCAGGTTAGAATGTAGGGTAATGTAATACCACATTATGGTGACTAGATGGAACTGAGGAGCATAGGAAATAAATGACAAAGGTTTCACCAGAAAGGAAGTGAGGGTTAATCTCCAACATCAACAGAGACAGAAATCATTTTTTTTTTTACAGTAGGGGAAGGCTAGAAGCTTTTAGAGCTTTGTATCTGCTGACTGTGTACCTGTTGCAGGTCATTTTTCCTCACTTCATGTCTGGAGAAACTATTGTCCAATGATAATAGGTAAGGTAGGTAATGATAAATGTTTTTGAACAGAGCCCCACATGGCAATAGAAACTCAACAGAGGCTCTAATCATTCCATATATTAATACATTCTGCACATGTTAAGACCCCTTTCACACAGTCTGATCAGGAGAGGATCCATGCTTGTATCTCCTGCTGATCGGAACAGATGTCACCATTCTGACATCCGTGTCTGTCCAGTTTTTTTCCTCCTTCTTGTGATGGAGGAAATAACTGAAATTACCGAACCCATGTTGATCTGTAGGGAATCAGATGCAAACGGACATGTATCCATTTACATCAAATTACCCCCGATCCGCCATGGTCAGGTCCATCAAAATAGACCCGGCTGGAGTCGTGGGTCAAATGGACGCCCGTCCGTATAGATTTGGCTACTCATAGACTAACACTTGGCTTCCAATCTGGTCCGCCTGAAAAACTGACAGGGGGACCTGATCGGAAAGCCTGTGTGAAAGGGATCTAAAGCTAAACTTCAGGCAAATGACACATTAACTAGGGCACAGAGGGCCCAAACATGTCTTAAAGCTGAACTCCAGGCAAATCACTAAATACAGATATGAAATGCATATAATGGAGCTGTTTTATCTGCCAAGGGTTGTGTAGTTTGTCCATCCAGTTCTAAAACGTACACAGCTCTGCCACTCAGCACAGTCCAGTCTGTCAGGAGACCAGATTTTTCTCTTCTGAAGTTAAGTAACACTTATAGGTCTTATCCCTCCCCTAGCCTGTGAATGGACAGTTAAGGAGAAGCAGCACACTATTAAGCTCATCTCTCTGTTACACTGCACTCTCCACCTGTCAGCATCTACCTTGTTCACCCATGAGCACTGCAGCACAACTGACTGGCTCCTTGTACTGCTTCTCCCTATCCTAGTCTGAGCTCTGCTGTAAAGTGCTTTACAAGAGGCTGATACATAGTCACATTCAGGTACTATTAATTATATTTACATTTAATGCTGTAATAATGACTACAGAACTGCATTCATTTGTGTCTTTTAATATCTAACTGGAGATCAGCATAAAGAATACAGCCTAGTGTGACTTACCTGGTACCATTATCCAACATGAGGCTGGTAAACTGAAATATATTTGTGGACCAATACGCCATGTCATCAACACCACCCAGAAAGTATTCATGGAATCGTTCCACCAGGAAGGGAGATTTTGTAGAATATGTTGTGTAGAGCTACAAATCCATCAAAATGAACATATTGTAACAATCTCATAAGAACATCCCATCTGGATATTGTTCTCATAAAATAGAATTACCTTAGAAACTGCAAAATATTCACCATAGCTGGAAAAAAGAAAAAACATGGAATGTTATTTTCATCTTTTTACATATTGTTGATTAGGTGACTGTAGTGCGTTTACTCACAGTTGCAGGAAGAGGATGTACATGCAGTCCACAATTGTTCTCTCATCAATGACTGTCTCATTGTAGAATTCCTTATATATGTTAAAAAGGTCCTGTACTGGAATATACCTGGGAACAAAGGCTCATTTCATAAGGCAAAAAGGAATTCTTGTGGTCCAGTTACCAGTAGCAACCACATTGCAAATTATCAATGCCCTTTGCATTGCTGTACTGAAAGAGCCATCAGGAAAAAACAAGAGGGTTACTTCAACTGTGACTCAGCCAACAGCTTATCATTACTCATCTTCCATTCCAGCTACTCTGTCCAGCCTCTGGTACCAAACAACAATATCTGCCCTGGAATGGGGAGCTTGTGATTTTGTTCCCTCAGGCATCCAGCACTGTCACATGAGGAGAGAGGGAGTCTTTAGCCTTTAGCAATTTGGAGCTCACGCACGGCTATAGCTGGCCATACGCTAAGGCAGGGGTGGGCAGCTCCAGTCCTCCAGCTGTTCTGGAACTGCAAGTCCCATGAGGCATTGCAAGACTGACAGTTGCAGGCATTACTCCCACAGGTATGTTGAGATTTGTAGTTAAAGCACAGCTGAATGGCAAGAGTTACCTGTCCCTGTGCTAGGGGGGTCTATTTTTTAACTATTCGTAGAGCCGCTTGCTCTGTGAACGTTTGTTCTGTGCGAATAAAGGCAAAAATGTACATTATTAGTATATTTTCTGTTCAGGTCTAATGTAATATAATGTAATACAGCATTATGGGCACTAGATGAAGCTGAGGAACAAAAGAAACAAGTATTTTTTTGCTATGCCTCTCAGGTCTATCTAGTGGCCATAATGCAGAATTACATTGCATTACAACATTGTGGTCCCTAGATGGAGCTGAGGAGCATAGGATATAAATATATCGTGCTAAAACTGGTATCGGTGCATCCCTATTGGCTAGTGTTGGAGCTTAGACAAGACATAATGTCAACCCCCCCACCCCCCCATATGACAGTGTTTGGTGATTAGCAGCTGTAGCTCAAGTACTGTTTAATAGGGGGGCCTGGGGGGTCACATGCTGCCTAATACTCAGAAGCCCCACTCCGTTGGCTCGGGCTCTCCGGCGAAGGTGGCTAGGGAGGTTGGCTCCGTAAGAATAGCTTCTTACGGAGATCTGAATGGGCAAAATGGTAATGTCTCTTCAGAGCTGGCCATAAAAAGTATACATATCAAATGAATTAAATATTTTGGAGCAGTTGTGCCCAATCGTGTTAGTGAGACACTAATACAAAAAAGAACGTTTGAAAACCAGCTTCACACGCACAGCGTATCTGCTGGATGGAACATTTTTGCTGAATACTCATGGTTTTGTGATAATTCAATACAGATACTGTAGGCAAACAATGTACATCACTTCTAGATGGAGGCAATAACCAGACGGTAAATGTTAGTGAAAAGAGAATATTTGGAAGGTCCTATCGCTGGAAAGCTAACTTCCATTCGTGGATATCCCAATTCAAATTTGCTCTTCATCTCACCATTTTGATTCCAGATAATTAAAGTCAAGTTCAAATTGGCTGACTACATCTCCACCTAAAACATAAAAGATATATGTTTGAACAGGGTAGTAGAAGCATTGTACTTATTGAACAGAAACAGATCCTAGGAACTCTACAACCTGACAACAATCAATTCTTCTCTGTAAGAAATCTTCTACTCATGATATTTGAATTTTAATAAGAATTTATTGAAATTAGAGATAAGACATGCGTGTGCTGTAAATACAATTAGCAAAAGTGTTGAACTGATGGAGCTTGTCCTTTCTGAGCTTTGTAGTAAGCTATATGTTATTTGCCAAAGTACATGTAACAACAGTACATGTATAGCCAAAGTACATGTAACAGTATATGTACAGCCAAAGTACATGTAACAGTATATGTATAGCCAAAGTACATGTAACAGTATATGTACAGCCAAAGTACATGTAACAGTATATGTATAGCCAAAGTACATGTAACAGTATATGTATAGCCAAAGTACATGTAACAGTATATGTACAGCCAAAGTACATGTAACAGTATATGTATAGCCAAAGTACATGTAACAGTATATGTACAGCCAAAGTACATGTAACAGTATATGTATAGCCAAAGTACATGTAACAGTATATGTACAGCCAAAGTACATGTAACAGTATATGTATTACCAAAGTACATGTAACAGTATACACTGAGTGGCCAGATTATTATGACCACCTGACGTTTGTAGGCAAATTAGCTATAATTTTGCGCTGAAGTTGCTAGAGGGCCAGAACATTATAAATAGGGAAGCAGGTTGTTTACCACGACAGTAGAAGTGTTTATTTTCTGAAGATATGGGTAAACAACGCGATTTAACAGCCTTTAAACGTGGGATGATTGTTGTCGCTCAGAGCCATGGAGCGAGTATCAGCAAAACAGCAGAATTCGTTAAATGTTCAAGAGCAGCTGTTGTTAAAGTGTTTAAAGACTGGACTGTCAGCCGAAAATCTGGGTCTGAACATGCGAATTGTGGCCGTCAGCGACTAGTCAATGTTAGGACAGAACGGAGAGTGGCAAGACCGGTACAAGACAACAGAAGGGCAACAGTGCAGTGTCAGATTCCTCGCATCACCTTTCAACATCTCGTGGTGTCACGAGGCGGCCCAACGAAGTCATCTCGTGGAGTCATCTCGTGGCGCAACGAAGTACTGATGGGGTGGTCATAATAATCTGGCCACTCAGTGTATGTATAGCCAAAGTACATGTAACAGTATATGTATAGCCAAAGTACATGTAACAGTATATGTATAGCCAAAGTACATGTAACAGTACATGTTTAGTCAAAGTACATGTAACAGTACATACAGTATATAGCCAATGTACATGTAACAATACATGTATAGTCAAAGTACATGGATGATGGAACAGTACATACATGTGTAACAGTACATATATAGCCAAAGTACATGTAGCAGTATATGTATAGTCAAAGTACATGTAACAAAACATGTACACCCAATGTGCATATAGATATCCAAACAAACTACATATAACAGTACATCTACAGCCAAAGTACATGTAACAGTACATGTATAGTTAAAGTACATATAACAGTACATGTATAATTAAAGTACATATGACAGTAATATGTAGCAATGAATAAAAGGTCTGAGATATCATAGTAAGAAGCCTGTGATTTCTGATGGTGGCTGTACTGTACACAATCCACTATGAAAACACACATGAACATACAAACTCCATGCAGAGCATACGCTGATGGGATCTGAACCCAGAATTGCACCACTGAACGAGATCTTTGGAACCATGCTGCTTATTTTCTATATATCTATATCTTTATTTATATACAATATATACATGTTAAATAGTAGGAAAAAGATATATTATATTTACCAAAATCACCAACTGGATGAGCTTCTGAATATGAGCCATGAAAATCAATCTGAGGAAAATAGGACAGATATAAAATATATTTCCAGAGTATATCATCTCACGAGAAAATGTATGGAACTGGATATCAAAGTATGGAATATCAAAACATAGAAACATTACCCTTTACATAACTTGGCCATATAAGGTCAATGACATCACAGCATCAAACCCTTTTCTTACATGCAGACACGGGCAGGGAATTCCCTGTCTGTGTCTGACTGAGCGGTAATGGAAGGAGCTTCCTTCAAGGTTCAGAGGTGCTCAGGTTCAGACCAAACCAGGTCCAAACCTGAGCTCATCACTACCAAGCAGCGACATATAAACCTATGTACCTGTCCGTCCCGTGGACACAGCCTATATGTGCTTGTCCACTGTAATACTTCCACCACTGTGGCTTTTTTACTATTTGAGTTTTACGGTTGTCTAAGGGCTCGATCACACCAGATGCATTGAGCTGTGTTACTTAACAATTGCTGTCTATGTTCCCTGTTCACACCACACTAGTACATTAGTGTGTATTAAGGAAAGACATAGGCACGCTGCATTTATATGCAGCGCAATGCACATAAATGTGTGTAAGAAATGTTCCTATGAAATTACATAAGAAAAATGTTAGTATTTTGACCGCTGACCACTAAAAATGCCAACATTGGTGCAGCACATTGTGTTCAGAAAATGTTCAGAAAATTGACATTTTATATGTGTGTTGTGGTGTGAACAAACCCTTAGAGGGTTATTCACAAAGCTGCCAAAGGCAGCCGAGTGAATAACCAACCTGAAGTGAAGTGGGCCGAACGCTGTTCGGATATTTACTTTAGGCTTGTACAGCTGATTTCAGCCGTACACCGACTGAAATCAGCTGTACATCGGCTGAAATCAGCTGTACATCGGCTTGCTTTGGCTGGCTTCGGTTCAGCCGACATGCTCAGCATGTTCGGCTGAGCCGAAGTGCAGAAAGAGCTCGACTCAGCCAATCCAATATTGGGATTGGCTGGGCCGAACCTCTGGCAGGCTACTCGCTGCCTTTGGCCTATTCTCATAAGGGCCGAACAGCAATGAGTGAATAGCCGAGTGGCATTCGGCTCAGCTATTCTGCTCGGTAGCTCCGTGGTACCAAGCAGAATAAAAAAACAGTGAAAAAAGTCGGAGCGAAAAATAAAGTAGGAAAAAAAGGTTAACAAATGTAAATAAATTATACATTTTAAAGAATAAATAAAGATTTCAACAAAAAAAGTAATGAAGGATTATTGAAAAAAAAGAAAATAAAGAATACCGAAAAAAGAAAAGAAAGAAACAATTGGGCAGAGCTAACTGTTTCTTATTGGCCTGGACCTGCTAGAGCCTTCTAGCAGGTCCCAGCCAATGAATAATAACTGGGCGGAGCTGGCTGTGACGTCACGGCCGGCTCCGCCAAGTTGTCATTGTTTAATGACAGTTCAGCGTCCCCAGGTAACATACTTCTACTGAACCTTCAGCTAGCTTTGTGAATAACCCTCTTAGTTTTATCAGTACACACGTTATTCGGTATTGTTCCCATATGTTATTAGCATGTACAGTAAATGGCAAACAGCAGTTACATAGACTGAAAAACATTAGAGACAATCCCATTTTTGGTTAGGTTGGGTTGTATGTTAGGTTATGGTTTAGCGCTTGGCAGCTTATGCACAGTTTCCTCCACACTTACAGATAGTTCAGTAAATACTCACTGCTGCCATGGCTCTGAGGAATCCTTGGTCAATGTGCAGGCTGTGCCAACTCACATCAGCCACCTGATGGGAAGCTATTCCAAACAGGAAGGCCACCAGTTTCTGCGCTCTCTGGAACATAGCAAGCAGAACAGTACACAAGCTTTGTAATATGTGTGAATGTTATCAGATATTTAAAGCTGAACTCCGGACAAAACATTTTATTTTAACCTCTTGCCGTCCGCCCGTAGTAAAAAAACGGACGGACGGCACTGCAGCATCTGCGGGTTGCCGTCTCCAGACGGCAATTTTTTTCTGCTCGCGCGCCCCCTAGCGGGCACGCACGGGCAGAAAAGACCCGCTAAATGCACACACCCGTCACCGGGTGTTTCACATATAGGCGATCGGCGGGTCCATAGC